CCTTGAGTGCCTCGCTTGGACAACAGTCCAAACCACTGCCAATTAGATCCGAATTTAGAAGTGTACCGTCTGGGCGTGACAACGGCTGCATAGGCGCCCAACCTACATTTGTAACAGCCAACCGCAATGCGACATGCCAGTGATTCGAGTGTGATTATGTGTGACATGTCGGTCACAAATCTTTCACTTCAAGAAGGCGTCGTTTGCCGGTCTGCCTCAGATATTCACAATACCCCGTAAAAAAGTATGAGTCTTGTGAGGAGATAGTAAACTCGCCAATGAATCCAGATCATATCGCATGAAAGCCTTCAAGTGTGCGCAAAACCTGGGAGGCCAAATTTGAGGCGCCCTTTCACATGTGGGGTCATCGATAGTACTTGATCAAAGTTCTCCAACGTGATATTTATATATCATACCATTCCGGCGTGCCTTGCGCGCTTTGCGATCCGAGCCGTTTGCATCCAACTGCAGACCGCGATCACAGATATGAAGTACTACTTACTAGCACCGGCCTGGACATGTTGTTGCCAGCGAGTACAGAGCGATTCGAAGCAACCATGTTCCGCATGCACAGGATATCCGAGATAAACCTCAGTTGAGCAACTTGCACTTCATTTAAAGGTCCGCTTACACTTTTTCTTGTTCGATCTCATCATAGGGAAGCTAGCGTTGACGGTTCATCTTTAGGCTTATGAGCGCGTGATTGATACATCATTGTGCGAAGATGAGGCAACAAAGGCCAAATATGCAGGCAAGCCAGCTTGAATCCCGCTTGCTATCAGCATGGAAATATGACCGCTTATTTATTGCTTCGGGAGCATAGCTCTAGTAACCCCTTACGGTCTAGGAACCCAAGCACATTTTTTGGTGCACGAATGCAGGAACGTGTTGAACAGTTACCTGGATGATGAGATCTTACGGTCAATCAACATCAGAAATGAACATTCCCAGCGCTCATATCTCTTAATAGTCAATGGTGATTCTTTCTTTGTGTGCCAAAATATGGCGTATGCTACTCACTGGTAGGTTCTGTCATAAGATGAACCCTATCAGTATCGCCCATTGCACTCCCTCCGATTCGTCTACTAGTCCTCTTCAGTCTAAACCAATACTTTGACCATCTCGCCAACTCTTGGCGTATTGTCGCTTAGTTCTCTCACTACGGTACGCTCGATCCTTTCTATTTCTCATTTCTCATCTAACGAGGAGGAGAAAGACAATGTTAGGTCCCTTCTTGTACCACCTCTTAAGGAGTACAGTCATTTTTGCGCTCCTGAAGAATGTGTCATCCGTCTCAATGAACGCGACCATTGATGATGAAAATGGGGACTCCGTAACCGGTGCGAAGCCGATTTACAGCGGCACAAACTGGAATTATGGACCTGGCTGCCCTGGCTGCAAAGCCCAGCCAGACATTGACGACACGTTCGACCGGTCATGGCATGATTTCACCGCTCATCCAACTGACACTGGACCCCACACGATAACACTCACTTTCACCGGTGAGTTCGTCAACTTATTCGCGAGGTCAATACTGAGCCACGTATCAGGCACTGCAATCTGGATCTACTGCGTGATCCCGAACTACATTGAGGGGGTGACTACTCTGACGAACGTCAGTATCAACCTGGATGGGAAGGATGTCGATTTATACACTCACATGCCGCTGGAGGATACAACCGAGATGTACTACAACGTTTCCATCTACACCAACACAGACCTGGCGAACGCGATGCACACAGTCGTTCTAATGCCAACGTATGAAGTGAATGCGTCGATCATTCTCTTTGACTGGGCACAATACACGTGAGCGGTCTGCCTTCCCTCATATCTGAGCCATATAAGTGATATGCTGATATAGGTATGAAGAAGATCCTCCATCGACGCAGCCACAGTCTGCCACTCCCACACCTCCATCGACGCCTGCCACTCCCGCATCTCCATCGGCGCAGCCACAGTCTGCCACTGCCACTCCTAGCTCTGCTATAACTCAGTCAAATCCTTCTTCAACTAGCAACATCGACATGCCTTCCAAAGGTTCCACGGGTGCTTTTGTATCACGGCCACAGTCCTCTCCGACTGGTATTTCAACATCGAACGCGCGCCTACCAACTCAATCCCCGTCGAATGGTAGCCCCAATAGTCCCACGTCCTCTGCTACTTCCTCAAGGGTTAATATTACTGGCATCGCAGTAGGTGTCGTTGTCGGGATAGTTAGTCTTGTCATCCTCGTCGCCGTGTTCTTGTGTTGGCGCCGCAAAGGCAGGAACAGGGCCAAAGGGGTTTTCACGGAGCCTTTCACGGAGCCGTCCTCGCGGCTGCCACATATCGATTCATCTGCGACTCTCTTACGAGTTGAAGAGTCTCCCCACAAGTCTAGTATGCCAGAGGTCGAGCAAGAGCTCCCCCACACTGACCCACGCGGGATCCGGCACTCAACCCTCCCTCCTTCCAATATAACCCCTGCAGCACAATCGGCTGATGCATCTAGGATGCCGTATATTGCGGGAGCCGACGATAACGGGATGGTAGACATGATCCTGCGTAGGCAGGTCGCGAATCTGCAATTGGAAATGGAGAGGTTGAGGGAGGTTGCGGCAATCACGCCGCCACCTGCATACCAAAGGGAATAGAAATGTAATATCGTCGGGATGCTCCACTTTCCCTCTATCTGAGCATTAACTTATCATATGAACGTGCGGTAGGGTGACAAGCGGCAGCGCGTCTGTGTATCATCGTAATTTGTTTTCTTGGCTTCATTTCACATATTTCTGGGGTTGTCCAATCTTGTGCGATCATTCATGCGTCGTTAGACACGGCGGTCAGAAAGTCAAGGTAGGGGATGCAAACAGCTTGATAATACGATGGCGGTGTGTTAGATTGACAATCCATCTGTCTCGCTGATGCACTGGTCGCACTGGTGGGTGCATGCGCAATTCTTCCTATGAACAGCATGAGTAATAGAGAACGGGGAATCGGTGGTACCTGTAGCCTTAATTGTTGGTATGCTGCATGCCAGATATATACCCGGACGAACTTCCGGTTCCAGCGCAGGGATAAAATCGAGTCAACGACATCAACAGATATCAGTCAGAAAATTCGCTACGCATAGTTGTGATCCAGGATCTCACTGTAATAGAATTCCTGATCGTCATTGCGATCTGCTAAGTGATTGCCATGTACTGATTCACTTGCGAACGAGTACGTCCCATGCCTATCATAGATACCCTCGAGCGGATTTTAGTACAAGACGGCTCTCGGAACGCCACATTGAGAATACATCCGGGGGAAGGCTTAGCCGAGACCTTGCAACGTAAATTGCTGCAGTATGATCCAGATTTGAGACAAAGTGAGAAGATGGTGTGAACCATGCATAACAGGACATCTTACCAGCAAGTTTTTTCACTGTCCCAAGAAGGTGATCGGTTTCTTGTGCTTATCTGGCCGGCTATATGGATCTAATTCTAGCAATGAAGGCACCACAATCGTGACCACTATGCGACACGCACATGGAAGTATCAATTTAGCACATGTCGAGACTTGGATTTCAAGACATGTAAGGGGAACTCACCGACCGTCGGATAATATATAGTCTAGGTTGGTGATCTTGATGGAACAGACACATCGGTCACGTCGCAGGATCCAGGCTTGCTCATGTATTCGGACATGCTCCATGCATGTGCTCAGTCGCAAGTGCACACTGAAACCTTCAGTATTCTCAGTGCATTAGAGCATTTATACTCGTTGTCTTCCCCAAAATTGCCCATAGGTCGCCCACCATGGCTGAACCGAATTTATCTCATACAGCCTCCAGACCGCGCGACTCACCTATCAACTCGAACAATACAGACATCGTCCCCAAGCTGGTTTTCATCGTGCGCCATTTCAAAGTATCATTATCCTCGTTATGTATACAAAATCATACCAGATGTCTAGGGAACGCGCACAGAGTAATCACCCCTTTGTCTGTACGCGCACTCGCGGATCCCCTCGCTCACTCCTTTTGCGGAGTTTTTCTTGCCTTTTGCTCGCAGAACCTCCGGGTAAGTTATTGTCCTGGACGCTGGGCGGTGGAGACCGTCCCAGGAGCATTGGGGATATCACAGTGCTCCATAGTTTATATATCGCATATATAGGTATCTTGTGGTTGCGTTAGCCCTCAATAAAGTCCAATCAGAGGACAGACACTCACAACCAAATACAAACACCAGAACCATTCACCAAACGCTCCGCTTCCGATTTGGCATGCCCCTACGTTGCAGTCACGGACATCAGGTTGAACACAATACCTGGGAAGCTTTGGGCTTACATGTAATATATATGACATCGAACGCCCATTCAATGATACCAGGACGTCCAAGATCTTCACCAGCAGAGATTAAGGTATCTGTGGTATGATCACGCCGAGGTGATCCAATTCGCTCAAGGTAGCGCGAAAGGAATATTGATGGTACATAGGACAGTATGAGTAGCCAAAGAGAAAGCCGTGTTGGAGACAGAGAGCCCTTGCGAATTATGAGCCGTAACAACAGCGATAGCACTCCCGCGCCGAGCATCCCCAGCTTCATGTTCTTGATCGTCTCGGCATTCTGTTGAGCTGTGAAATAATAAAATTGGGCAATGCTATAAATCTGCTCAGATACAAAGGCGTACCGACACGCTTCGCTGAAGCATTTGCCATTGTCGAGATTGTATGTGCTAGGCTTCAGCCTCTTGCGATGATCGTAGGAAGTACGATGCTGGCGTTGGCACGTGATAAGCGACCTTTGCGCCAGGTAACGCTTCGGTAACCCAGATTTAATCTAACATATCTTCTACTTATCCCATCCACACCAGCTCACGTTCAAGAACTTATCATGTTTCAGCCTCATCCTCGAGACATGGTACAAAAAGTGGTCCAAGCTAATAGGGAGCACCAAAATGCTTTAAAGGTCTATGCAGAAAGAATAGAGGCGGAGCTCGAGGGTGTATCGAAATTACTGGTGGGCTGTATCAATTTCTCTATTTTGATCGCACTTAGAAATTCACAGGCGGCTGCCGAAGTATCAGAAAACGAGGATGAATTGGACATCAACGCAGGCGGTACAGTAGTTATTCCTGAGTCCGTGAAGGCAACAGGTCCTGTCTCCTCTAATGACCTGCTCGCAGAGGGAGTATGTACTGTGCGAACCTGTTTTTGCTATTCCTACGTTTCACACCTTCCTACATAGCGATCACTCTTTTTCAAAGAAGCCATGAAACGCGAACGTTATATGGAGTCCATTGTGGTTCACCAATGTATGCACTTCCAGTAACCTCTAATCGCTTTCCTAATCGTACTGCAAGGGAAACCTGCTGAATTGGATATCCTTCGTGACTCTGTTCGGTCGGAGAATCGTCGCATTTACGCTGTTCAGGCTCAAATGAGGTGCATGTTTCTCTTAAAGTTGACGCTATGGAATGATCCGACTAATGGCAACAGAGGGCAACAAACATTTTCCTTCGTCGATGCGCAATCCCCTGAGTTCTTCGAGCAAAACACGACAAACATTGACTGGGATCGTGTTGCCATGAAGGTACATCTTGCTTGCTAGGTAAGGTCCATAAGCAGTAATAGCAAGTTTCTTGTCCATCAGGTCTCCTCTTCGAACACATCCTGCGTGCAACGGTCTGCAAAAGAATGTGAGATCCGGTGGCTGGGAGAACATCACCCCCAGTTTAACCGTACGCAGTGGACGCAGTCGGAAATTGATCGGTTAAGAGACCTACTCGGTAACGTAGTTGAGGGACAGATTGACTGGTCAGATATTGCGGCAAAACTTGGTGTATGGTATTTCAGTGTCTGTATTTTCGAACGTGCTGATACCTTTTTGGTACGTCTTGAATAGACAGGTCGCACACCAGTCGACTGTATGCGCCACGGTATCATTCGCCGCACTCATAGCTGGACACCAGAAGCAGATGAGCGGCTGATGCAAGCGGTATATATATACGGAACGGACACCTGGAGTCTGGGTGAGTCTATGCAGTTTTCTCTGCCAGGGGTCTGACTATTAATCTGCTTCACTTCGACAAAGTTGCAAGGTATGTATCCGAAGATGCGACGCCACAACAGTGTCAAAATCGCTACACTCGTACCCTAGATCCAGATATCAAGCGAGGACCATGGACGACAGGAGAAGATGACATGCTGCGACGTGCTGTTGCTGTTCTAGGGCATTCATGGTTAGACGTCGCTTCCTTCATTCCAGGCCGAAGCAATGAACAATGTCGCGACCGCTACCAAGAATATGCAAGTCCAACTGTTGCTAAAGGGAGATGGACAGAAGAAGAAGATCATGCCCTTCTGAAGGTGGTGGATCAAGCGGGAGATGTGAGCTGGAAGGAAATTAGCAAGCTGTTAGGCAGTGGACGAACAGACAATATGGTGGGTAACGTTTTTGCCGGGCTAACATTCGTCTTGCTCAAAATGTTTTAGTGCCGAAACCGCTATGCCACCCTGATGAAAAAGAAACAGCAGACACCCGCCGCTGCCGATCCCTCTAATCTATATGCTCACGTAGAGCACTCGGAACCGCCTAGAAATACGGATACGTCTGATCTTGCCATAGCTTCAGTTTCTCTTCAGAACTCGGAATCCCCAGCTACCATGTTACCCTCGGATCCTACTTCAGAAAGGGCGGAGCCAACACCTGGGTCCCGTCCTCGTCCTCGACCCAAGCCTAGAACGCGTCTCAAGAATGTTGGAGATGACCACCAGGTAATAGGAGAGTATGGAATGACAAGCGATGCTGTCACGAATACTTCCACAGAAAACATGACAACGAGTGCAGCCCTTCCAGTGGAAGCCGCAACAGACTCTGGACAATTTGCGGTAGCACCCGCAAAGAGACCCCGTGGACGTCCAAGACAGGCTAAGAAAAGATCCTTGCTTGATGATAAGGCTGACAAGCCTCCACCCAAGAGGCGCAGAAGAGCATCACACAGTATCGGTTCCGCACCAGATACCCGTACTGCGCGTTCTACCCTTCTGTTCAGTAACACATAATCGCTGATGAGATCGTCACATAGAACACTCCGATAGCGAGTATGAGTCAAGAGTCTGCTACCTCGCGAAGACCACGAGCACGGAAGCAAAAGCAACCACAGGACCCTGTCAACATGGATGCTGGAGAAGACCTTGCAATTTCTCAAACTGCCGGTAGGAGTGAGAATCTCTCGCCTGCACTAAATGAGACTGCCCAAGAAGTGATCATATCTGGTACAAATGAGTCTGCGGTGAAAGCCAGGGGGACAGATGGTGCTTCAGTACTAGAGCAACATCCTCGAACACCTCCCTCGCCTGCTACTCTGGCTACCGCCTCCATTGAAGTACGAAGAGCGACGCGTCGAGCCTCTCGAAGTAACCGGAAAACAATAACGTTGACTCGAACGCAGCCAATGAGAACGACTACAAGAAATGTTGGGCAGACTAGTTCTGCTGGTGCGTAACGGATCGTGTGCCATTTTCAGCCATGGGTTTTACAATATCTGATTCTAGGCTCCCGGACACGAGGACGCACAACATCCAAAGTCACACCGAACAAGCAATCTCTGGAGAATCCTTCAGATGTAAAAGACCTCGGTGATTTATCTTCTGAGTTATCCTCGCCTCCGCCTTCGCCTTGACGTGTGGTAGACAGTCAGTAATCATAGATGAACCGATGAATACAGTCGTACAAAGTATGCAGAACCATGTTTTAATGGTAATTACGAACTTAATTTCCACCGCTTTCGGGGGTGGATGGTCGATTCCCAGTTCACGATGGCTCCCAGAATCTCACCATCTTCTTGGTCCGGACTATCCTCAGTCGCCAACAGAAGATTCTTCAAAGACTCTTGAACTAGCCCAGCAGTCTTCAGCTTTCTCTCCAATGATGGTAAGGCTGCTTTCTTCGGTGGAGATATCTGTAGAGATGTGTCAGATTAGCCGGGAACGATATCGAACAAAAATAGAGTCCCTTACCGGTGTCCTGAGATATGTATGTTTCGGAGGTAAAGTCGGAAGATGTCGTTCACTCCAAGGCAATGACCTGAGAGTCGGTGGAATGACTGGTGTCTCTTCGTCGTCCGAGGGGAGTAGATCAGGTGAGGGTGAGCGAGACGGCGAAGGAAACAGTGTCAAAGCTGCCACATCTAAATAAAAATGAATCCACTGAACCCGGATATAAAGTGGACCAAGAGCGTACCTTGTGCTCTATCTTTGTTTTTGCTTGCTAGCTTGTGCAGGTCTTTGGTCTGTAACCCGTAGTCCTCCGAAGCCAACACCAGGTCCGTGGCAATCGGAGTCGTCCTGTTAGCGAGATTTGCATACTCGTGAGCTCGTTCATATACACATTCTACAACTTCAAATGCAAGCCTGGTGTTAGATGCCACAAGCCTCAGAATCAAACATTGACGAACGGACAAGCCGCCACTTCTAGCTCAAGTCTCCTGAATGCCGGAGATTGCACAGAATCATATCCGGCATACTGTAGTTCCAGCGACAAAAATCTTCGCAGTGCAACAGAAGCTAACTCAGGAGTAATAGCAGATAGTTCCGGGGCGGCGTGAGGTTCCGGAGGAGGCGTGGACTGCCTGACTGGACCATGTCCAGGAGGATACAGTGGGAGGCCCGGGGCTGAACCTTGGTATTGCGGAGAATACTGAGCCTGAGGCGGGTATTGTGGTGGGTATTGCGGCTGAAATGCGCCGTACGTGCTGGCATGGGGGTAATAGGCCATATTGGACATGGCTGGCGCGAGTCAACCTGCGGGTCGGACGCGCAGCTTGTCCACGATCGTGATCCGCAATTCCCATGAACTCTGCTCGCAGATAGCAACTTTTCTGTTACTCCGTGTTCCAGCAAGACGACTCTTTCGTACACAGCGATGGCGGAGACTGCTGATCAGGTTGCCTCTAAAGAAGAGAGACCCCCAGCCCCCCTCCGCACGGACACGTTCCGCAAGGTTAGACCTGACATTGCGGGTCCTGACACAGTGCAGCCACCATTCCCGATCGTGCTCTCTGGTGCAGTACAGCGAGGGTTTGGCAGAGGAGGCAAAGATCTCGGGTGCCCAACTGGTCCGTCCACTGTGCCACTGAAACATTTTGCCGACTCATTACTCTCCTCACAGCCAATTTACCTGATGAATCCATTTTACCCATGAGCTCGGTGACACAGACGGGTGTCTACTATGGATATGCCCAGGTCTCTTCCGAGAAGGACGGCAAGACCTCGCTGCCGAAAGTAGATTGTGATGTCTTGCCTATGGTGATGAGCCTCGGTTGGAATCCTTTCTACAAGAACGAACAGTTGACAGCAGTATGCTCCTCACTATTTTCATTTGACCGATCAATTGACCGAGGCTCAATAGGAGATACATATTATGCACGACTTCAGCCGGGATTTTTACGGGCATGAGATGACGGCGATTGTCCTTGGGTACATACGTCCGGAACTCGATTACACTTCGAGAGGCAGGTTTGCTTTGATCGATTGCGAACAACATAACTAAAATTTCTGATTTTCCCAGAGGCCTTGATAGAAGACATAGAAACGGACAAGTGCGTTGCGCTGAAATCGCTGGAGAGGCCGGCATACACAAAGTTCAAAACATATTCTCTGTTTCACCTCGACAGCTCAAAGTTGTAACACGACTTAAAGATGGGCTTGTAGCGTAGATTCTTTATACGGCTCCCATATAGACATAGATGAAATGGATTTGTTTCTGCCTGAGCCACTGATGGTGTAGTTCCACTGCTAGTGGATCAAGATTAGACTTGTGTGTGATCTTGCGGCGGCACCCCCGGCGCTTACTGCCACCATTTCTTGTCCCCGACGTCCACCTCATCGACACCTGGCGAGATTGTCCTCATACTGCTCCCTGGTCAGAGCTAGCAAAAGATCGCATGTATAACGGAATAGGTCTTACCACTCCTCGCGGAAGGTGAGTATCTAAACTCGAACGTGAATCATCGCGTGTCGCTCATGTAATTCCTCTTAAGTGGTACGAACGGCTATGTTGTACGGAACCTTTCAACATTACGAGTGCATGAAACGGCCGCAGATAGGGCTAGTGCATGGGATGCTGCACCTCCCAAACACCGTGAACCAGACGCCGCAATTCTGGAACATGAACGGAAGCGTAAGGTTGAAGTAAAGTGTTTGGAATTGCAACTCGAGCTAGAGGAAAAAGGGTATGCCATCTGACACGCATATCGGTTCACTTTCTGATTAGAACCTAGTGTTGACGAGGATGACATTGAGCAACAAGTGAACGATCTTCGCACAAAACTGCTCGCGACCATCAATACCTTAGGTTCAAATGCGAAGGGCTTGAAGCCCTCCGATACCCATGGAATTGCTGCAGCGAAGAAGGAAGAGCTCAACAAAATGGCGAGAGCATTGGGAACTCGGAGTGATTATACGGAGGGACAGGCGTTTGACAGGGAGAAACAAGAAGAACTCAAGCTGCGGAGAATGGCAGAGCGAGAGGAAAAGGAGCGACAAAGGGATGAAGAGCGGGAAAAAATGCGTGCGCAGAAGGAAAAATGGGAAGCGGAGCGGCGGGAACGGGAACGTCTGCGAAGGAGAGAAGAAGACAGGAGGAGAAAGGAAAGAGAGGAAGACATGAGACGGGCTGAGAGGATGCCACCTCCCCCGCCACCGCCTCGAGATAGGGAGCGAGGCCGCGATGACCATGATAGACGGAGTAGGAGTCCCACGCGTCGGGCTCCTCCTCCTCGAGACCGCGACGACCGTCGTCGCCGGCCCATTTCCCGCTCACCTTCTCCACCAGTACGGGGTCGTCGTGCGCCGTCTCGCTCGCCGTCGCCACCTCCGATGCGCACTCGCCGACCTGCTTCTCATTCGCCATCGCCGCCTCCAGTACG